AGGAGACAGGACTAGTCATTTTTATTATATAACCCGCTTCGCGGGCCTTGGGCGCTGGAATGCGACCTTTGCATGAGAAATTTGACTTTCCGATAGCTTGGGTCCTGCGGACCCCTCCCTTCCTCCGACCACACCCGCGCGTGCAACTTGAAAGAATGAGAAAATTTGTATTTTTGGAATTATGCAAATTAGCCCTCCCTAGCGCCGGACACACACACAGAGATACACACCAAAATTATATAAGGTAGGACTTTGCAATGCCAAATTTTCAGGTGCACCACGTGTCCGTGCACGACCAAGGATTCTACAACTGTACCGCCACTAACACTGAAGGAATTGCCACTAGCTCTTCGGAGGTTGAGGTAAGGGATTGCCGCAAAGAATCCCTACTAGCCTGTCCCCTCCCCCTCACTCACATACCAAATGATCTCTGCTAGCCTGCCCCCTCCCCCTCTCTCTCATCCCAAATGATCTCTGCTAGCCTGCCCCCTCCCCCTCTCTCTCATCCCAAATGATCTCTGCTAGCCTGCCCCCTCCCCCTCTCTCTCATCCCAAATGATCTCTGCTAGCCTGCCCCCTCCCCTTCTCTCTCATCCCAAATGATCTCTGCTAGACTGCCCCCTCCCCCTCTCTCTCATCCCAAATGATCTCTGCTAGCTGCCCCCCCTCCCTTCTCTCCCATCCCAAATGATCTCTGCTAGCTATACCCTTGATTTTTCAGGTGGTCCGCGCGGAAGCGCCTAAGCGCCGAACGCGCAAGGAGCCAAAAGCACCTCAATTTATTGAAGTTCTCCCCGGTGTTCTCCGCGGAACCGCCGGAGAGCAGACTACGGTAGAATGCTCCGTGTCCGGTTTCCCGAGCCCGTCAATTGTATGGATGCGGAATGGCCAGGCACTGGTACCATCCGATCGTTATTTGATGAGCTATGATGGGGAGTGTGCCACGCTGAAGGTACGTTTAAAGGGAGAGTGACAGGGTTGAAGGCCTGAAAAGCCAGATGAAATCAATGTTTCACAGACAATTCCTTGAAAATAATGGTATGATTCCTTTAATGGGCCTGGGTTCGCGTTTATTGAAAATTTCTAACAAGAATTCTGGAAAAATCGCAGGCTAGCAAAGATCATTTGGGATCTAACACTTCCTGTCTGATAAAATTGTGGTGCAATAAATGTTTCATCAAAATTACTTTATCTGCGAAAATTTATTTTTTTAATCCAGTGTCTAATAGGAACCAATCAATACAAATTCTCATTTTGTCTCTGGTAGCTAGCCCCGCTAAAAAATTGTACGCCATGCCCCTTTACGCAAATCATCTCTGCTTGCCTGCCAAATTCTTTAAAAAAATCATTAATTTCCTTAAAAAACAGAATTGACGTCATTTTTCAAGTTTGCGCACGTGACGCTTGCCGACGAGGGCAGCTACGCGTGCGTGGCCACCAACCAGAATGGCGACGCGAAGACGCAGATGAAGTTTGAGGTACTGTACTTATTATATTGGATATTGTAGTTTTTTATTATTATATTTTATTCTCGTGAAAAATCATCTTTCAATTTTGCAAAGTTTCGAAAACAAAACAATACAAATAAACATCCCGTGATTAACACCGTTTAAACTTAAAGCGATATTTTCTATGACGCGAATTACAAAGACCATTTTAAAATAAATTTTAATAAATGTAATGTAAGTTTTTGGATACGGAAAAGTATAGTGAGCAAAAGTGAGCAATCTTACTTTTTCGCGACCCACCACTTTTTCGAAACATGCTTGTTTTCTTTGAGGAATTCTCTAAAATCAATAAAACGACCGTTATTAACGCTTTTCGTACCACATAATCTTAACTGTCCGGAAAAGTTCTATTTTCAGCCAATTTAAGCGGGTATATTCCGTCTACTACTATCTCAAAAATATGTCGTATGTCTTCAGCGTCGATCCCGACTATGGAAGAAACAATTAATTTCTACATCAAAGCTTTTGCAACTTGCTTTTAAAGTTGATTAAAAATCAAATTTTTTGGTGATTAGGTATAAAGCGGTCATTGTCCAGGGTTTTTGCAAAATTTGATAATTTAACGCGACAAGCAACTTTTTTCATGATTGAATTCGGGAGTGCTAGATCAAGAGACCATTATCTAAATCAAAACTAGCTAATTTTTGGAAATGGATGAAACCTATTTTTTTTTTCAATTTTTTTTTGGCATCGGTCTCGGGGTGAGTAGTCGAGCGGAGGGGAGGAAATTAACGAAACCATTTTTCATTTCCACGATGGTTTTATATAGATGGTAGACGAACCCATAGACGAATTATTAGCCGAATTATTATTAACATCCAAATCTAGCTCTTGTTTTTGAACATTAATGAAACCCATTGTTTTCAGGTGGCCCCTGGTGTTCATAAGACGGGCGACGGCCAAGCGCCACTATTCCGGGCGGAGCGCCTGAAGGACCGCATCCGCGTCCGTGACGGCCAACCGTGTAGTTTGGAGGCGGAGATCATCGGGGGCTCCGAGCCGTTGACGATCAAGTGGCTGAGGGACGGCGTGCAGATTGAAGGTAATTTTTTTATCCAGTCAATTATAGCTACTTTTTGTTTATATAATTAGTTATATAAATAGAAGTATATAAATAGTTTACAATTAGAAGCGGGTTGTCGTTTTTAGTAATAAAAATTATAAAAAAATCGTAATTAAATGGGCTATATGTTTATATTCAAATCAATATAGCATATATAGCCTTCACCTTAATCGAAATATTGGGGACTTTAGAGGCCAACGGCATTTTTACCGTTATTTTTGAAGAAGTCAAAATTGCATTAACGCATAAGAGCCGCGGTTTCATATCAACCTTCGCGAAACACTTTTTCTGTAAATTGCTACTCCCAAGAATTCACTGATCCGGTTTTAATGCGCTTGACAATGGACGCATATCGAAATACGTGAAAAAAGAATACACAAGTTAACTGGGAATTTTAAAAGCTTTTCCTGATTCCCAATTTGGGAAACATTTTTTTAATTAGAGAAAATTGATTAAATCAGGCCCCCGAAACTCGTTTTAAAATTGTTGCTGCCAGCTACAAAACTTAAAATCCCGCCTTTCAGATAAAAGGCTGTAAATAGAAATAGAAATTGAATAAATTCGACCTTCAAGAACGCCTTATTTTAAATTATACCACGCGTAATTGGAAAATATGTAACACGTTTTGCAAATTATACATTTCCAATTTTCGAACTGTAGAAAAAGAGCTTATGGAGGTAAAACTGTCCTCAGAATATTGACACAGAAAATGGTTCCAAAAGCCTGTTTCAAAAAGGTTGCCTGCCGAGCCAGGTTTCGGAGTTACTAATCAACCTTCAGAGGTTTCAAAATAATTAAAAATGTAACCATTTTTAATTGTAAACTTGTAACCACACCTTGTAAACTTGCTTTGTAAAATCAATCCTTCCAGATCCGCTGCATTCCGATACGCACAAAACACAAAAAACTGGTTTTGCGGAAAATCCGTTGAAAAGGGCTTAGCTTCAGGAATGTTTCAAAAACCTACGCAGTCGAACCAGTTTTCCACCTTACTAATGCAGTCTCATTTCCTTTGCAAAAATATAATTTTTTACAGCATCCTAACCCCATGTAAAATTGACGCTTTAAGATTCCGCCGCATTCCGATACTCACAAAGCGGAAAGATCTGCCGATTGGCCGTGGCAGACGCATTCCCAGAAGATGCCGGACAGTACAGCTGCGAGGCCAGAAATCAATGGGGAGTGGCCAGATGCCAGATGAGGATGGAGGTAAGCTAGCAGAGATTCTTTGAGGAATGGACGGGGCAGGCTAGGAAGGGCCCACTCCTTTGAGGAATGGACGGGGCAGGCTAGCAGAGATTCTTTGAGGAATGGAGGGGCAGGCTAGCAGAGATTCTTTGAGGAATGGAGGGGCAGGCTAGCAGAGATTCTTTGAGGAATGGACGGGGCAGGCTAGCAGAGATTCCTTGAGGAATGGACGGGGCAGGCTAGCAGAGATTCTTTGAGGAATGGACGGGGCAGACTTAGCAGAGATTCCTTTGAGGATGGTGGCCGACGGGGCGCTAGCGAGAGATTCTTTGAGGAATGGAGGGGCAGGCTAGCAGAGATTCTTTGAGGAATGGACGGGGCAGGCTAGCAGAGATTCTTTGCGCATTCCAACTTTCGCGAAAATTGGATTTCACGCGTACACCTCAATAGATTAGAAAAATTTTACAGGTTTATGAATGCGTTTTTTAGTCATTTGAAAACTTTAAACTAACGTTTTTAGTGCAGTTGTTTAGAGGTTATTTAAAATATTAAGATAGATAAAATTTCATCTAATATTCTTAGGTATACTCCGACGAGAAGCCGGCCGGCGAGCAGGCCCCGAAAATCTTGGATGCCCCTGCCGGCCTCAGCGCTGACCTCGGAATGCCGCTGGTTATCAAGGCAAAGGTAAGAATTGCTAAATAAATGTTAATATATGATAAAAACTGTTTTTCAACTCAAATAAAAAAAATTTTAAATAATAGCCATCATACAGAATAAACGATTAATTCTGGGCTAAGCTATTTTTCCCAGTCATGGCATAAGGCATTTTTTTCACAAAAAAATCGGTTCAATGTTTTTTTTCTCTCGAGGCTCTGTTCTTTTTAAACCTTTTAATGATTTTAATTATATCGAAAATTTTTCAATTAAAAATAGAAAAGTCAGCATAAAACTGGCAACGGGCCTACGAAGGAAAGAAAGAAAGTTAGAGGGTTTGAAAAGTGCGTGCTAATGTATTGGTTTTTAAAACATCGTTCTTTTTCCACAAAAGTCTGTGACTATATCACAGGGTCGTGGATTATTTATATTTCGAACTTGTACGTCCAGCATTAATGATTCGGAAAAAATCGATTGATCAGCATTTTTTGAAACTTGCTTTTTTTCAAAGATCGAGCTAGGCTATTAGGCCTACTTTAAAATTTTCTATATTAATATTCAGATCGTCGGCCACCCCGACCCGGTCGTCGAATGGCACAAGGGCACGGAGAAGGTCATCAACAGCGACAAGTACAAGGTATGATACTCTGGAAAAAAGACGTTTCATAAAATTCCTTTGTTACGCGGGTCTTATTGATCAAATAATAAACCCGCTAATTGTTATCTTGTAATTTCACAAAAAAGAACTGAAAAAAATGCTTGTAGATATACCTCCCATTAATGCCTGTTTGTAGCTAAACGTCAAGCAGAAATTACTCGGCCGGTTATCACATAGCACTTTGAAAAATTTGCAACACGGTTTTTAAAAAATTTTGGAAGCTTGGGTTCGGCTCAAAACTACTTTGGAATTCCAAAAACCCTTCTGTATTTCCACGGATATACCTCCTATTAATGCGCAAAGTGGCTTAAAATGTTCAGCTCAGTTTGGGCCCCCCGGATATCACCCAAGATCCTCAAAAAATTGGCAGCACGATTTTTATAAAAACTTTAAAGTTGGGAGTCGAGCCGAAATTTTCGACTTTTTGGTACCCAGTCCCACTTGGAGGTACAAGGCATTTACGTATACCAAAATGTAGCCGTTGGCCTGGAGAACAAAAATAAAATAAATGAATATAAAAAACCTGATGAATAAAACGTATACAATTTATTAAAAAAAACTTAACTGAAGTTCAAAATGCTTAAATACAAAGAAAAACAATGTTTTAATGCAAGAGCCAGAAGGGGACTTTTTAATTTTCCGTATTACACCTGTGATTCATTCCTTTCTAGTCTAATGACATTTTCCGCATCTTTCCAGATGACGTCCGACGGAGAATCGATGATTCTGACGATTTCTGACACGAATAGACGCGACGCTGGCAAATACAGAATCACCGCGTCGAATCACGCCGGCCAAACGACGCACACCGTCGACGTGACAGTACGCGAGCCAACACCGTACGTTTTTAAGATTCTTTGAAAATGTGTAATTAGAGTTTATCTTTAGATTTCATAAATAGCATTGGTGCTGCTGAGTCATTAAGCTATACCAAAGTTTCCCAAATGTGGCTTTGTGCAGAAACATATTTTTTTTCGCTGGATATTGAAGTCTTAATAGGTTTTTGTATACTGGCGCTGATATTACGATTGTAAATAATACCCGAGCCCTATCAAATAGCGTTCATTAAATCACCCCGAAATTTAAATGTTTCAAAAATTCTTGATTTAAAAAATTTTGTTTCCCAGCTAATACGGGAAACAAAAGTTGGTGTATTTTTGAACAATTTTTGCTTTTAAAAAAATTAGTGTTTCATCCCCCTAAATTCCAAAAATTTGTTTTTTAGGCAATTTTATTTAACTTTATCGATGAATTTTATAGATATTTTACACAAATTTCAAAATTTTACAAAATGACAATTTGCAGAAGCGGCTCCTCGGCGAACCAACCGCGTTTCCTGGTGCACCCGGTGTCGATGCAGGCCGCCGTCGGCCAAAAAGCCCAACTGCAATGCTCGTTCGAGGGCAAACCGATGCCGGTCGTCTCGTGGTTCCGCGACGATGTCCGGATTCGGGATGGTACGTTTTTTGGAGCGCAACGGAGTGTAGCGTCCCCTATCGTAGCGTCGCGTGCTATCAAGGGGAACGTGACACTTTAAATTTTTAGTAAAACCTTCCGGTCTTGCCAGTAGGTAATTAACAAACCTGCAATGATGTATTGAAAATACGTCCCGTCGTGCATCTTTGAAACTAGACGAAACCGATTTTTTTAAAAATGGGTTCTCCATTTTTCGCCAAAGCGGAATGATATTACACCAGGATTAATTTCATCAAAACTATGCAGAATTGCGTCATAAATTTTTAACACCGGATGGTACGTTTCTGGGGCGTAGCATAGCGTAGTATTAACGGAAGCGTGACACGTTGAATTCTAAGAGCTTTCGTTTTTGGTTCAGCTGCTTACGCTGGGGCATTAAAAATTCGCCTCGCCGGGGGTCATTAAAAATTGACGAAACACATTTTTTTACAAATTGTATTTTCTGGTGGTGGCGCTGTGAAAAACGTAGTTAATCAAGTCTAAATTTTAGGAAAATTCCTAAAACGATCTCCGAATTCGGAAGCCCGCGTTTTTTGGAGCGTAACGTAGTGTAGTGTGGCCAATTTCTAAGGGAATTTTGTTATTGCAAGACGCCACGGATTAAAAGATCGTCCCGCCGCGGAACGGTGCAAATCATTGAAACTTATTTCTCAGCGCTGCTGTCAAATTACTCCTTTGCCACAACGGTGAAAAAATGGGTTTCAGAAATATTTAAAGCTCAAAAGTTTTTTATCTTCGTAATGGAAATAGCATTTCTTCCAAAGCCACAAAACTTTGATTTGACTCGTAAAAAAAAATTAGGATTTTACAAGATGTATATTGAAATGCTTCCGATATTAGTACCATTCTTAACATTTTCTTACAGGAGTTGGCGGCTATTCGATCGATACTCGTGATGGAGATTCTACCCTCTCTGTCGTTTACATGGAAAAGGAGCACTTTGGAGAGTATCTCTGCACCGTCAGAAATCCCTACGGAGAAGACCTCGCCACGGCCAAGCTGCTCCTGGAGGGTACGGTATTTTTAGTGTAATTAATTGTTCTATGTTCGATTTTATATGTTACATTTTTATCCGTTGCAGTATGGAATCAATTGACTAAGCAAATTTAGCATAATTCCATGTATGTTTTTTGAAACATAATTATTTTCAAAATTAGGTGATGAATTGGTTCTGTTGCATTAACGGGGGGAGGCTTATTTCTAGAAGTCTAGCAATGAGAAAATTCTCTGCTCCTAAAAATTACGGTATTTTTAGTGTATTTTAAATGTGGGGTTTATAATTTTATATGTTGCATTTTTCGTTACAAAATATCGGTCTGATTAAGCCAAAATATAGTCGAGTTCGCTGCACCTTTGATGAAACATCATTTTTTAAGGCATAGCTGGGTAATTGGTGTTTTTGCCTTATCGGGGGGATATACGAGCCATTAAGCCGAAATTTGGTGGAGTTGTCTTTAAATTTGATGAAACACCACTTTGCAAAATTAGTCGTTTGGTGCTTTTGCAGTATCGTGGGCTTTTTCCTATAAATCCAGAAATACAGAAAATCTCTGCTCCTAGAGGGTACGGTATTTTTAGTGTACTTTAAGTGTCAAGTTTTCAGATATTTATATGTTGAATTTTTGTACCAAAAACAGTCAAATAATAAGCCCAAATTTAGTGCAATGGGATGAATGTTTGAGGAAACATCGTTTTTAAAAAAAAACTAGCTTTTTAGTAGGTTTTTTGCATTCTCGGGGGGGGGGGGGGCCTTTTCCTATAAGTCGAGAAATGCGGAAACCCTCTGCTGCTAGAGGATACGGTATTTTTATTGGATTGTACGCCGGATATTTCTTTAATTTTAGATGTTGCATGTTTGTGCGAGAAATGCGGTTTTATTAAGCCACAATCTAGTGAGGTTGTCTGCACATTTCATGAAACGTGGTTTTTCAAAATTAGTTAATTGTTGGATCTTTTGCATTATCGGGGGGGGGGGCCTTTTTCCAAGTCCAGAAAGGCCAGAATTCAAATAATTTACAAATTTTTAGTGTTCAAAATTTACAAAATCGTTATTTCATACAGTAAAAAAGTATTGTTATTCCCTCGAACCAGGCGATCGTGCTATTAATTCCGAACGATTATCTGCAGCCGAATTCTGCAAAAATTTGAACGACTCAACCCTGTTTTTCATGAAACAGATTATTCATCAAAAATTTTGTTTAAAAAAGTTGCTTCTAATGTTTATTTTATCGATAATCAAATAGCATACAATCAATGGAAATTCACAAGTAAAGCGAAAAGAGTAAAGAATGTCAATTAGGGAGAGAGGACAATATTAAAATGGTAAAAAATCGCCTCAAAAAGTGAAACGAAATAATAATCGTAACTAGGCCGTTTTATTTTTATTTATTTAATGCCATTTGACCTTGTATTTGTTATGTGTATTGTCCCGTCCAGTCGAGTCATTTCCAGCCGTCCTCCGTCTGTTGTCCACCACCGTGCTCGTCGCCTTCTGTGCCGTCGTCCGGTCGTCTGTCCGGTCTAACGTATTTTTGGAAGGTATTATTGCAAGTATTTTTTTGCTTTTTAAACGTAAATCAGTAGTAGTAATTATTTTCACAATTGGCGCAAAGACTGATTATGCATTTTCGAAGTTTATACTTTTGACGAATGTTCGAAACATCCCTTTCCTAGCCAAGACCGTGTAATTTTTGTCATTTATAATGAATATTTATTGATTACTTTATGAGGCAAATTATTGCAGTTGAGCAAATTAGCACTTAAAACGGCAGGTATAAACGCGTATTTAATTTTTGCTAGAATGGAAAAGGCCCTGTATTGCCGAATCCATATTTTTCATAGATTTGATGTTTTTTGCAACATGTTTTTTCGAAAACGACGCAATTTATTTTGCGGTTGGCCCATTTGAGCTATCGAGAAAACATAAATCATAAATTGCATAATTCGAGACTGGTGAATTTAATTTAAAATGTAAATAAAATGGTCTAATTTTTCAATTTGACGAAGCGGCTGTAAAAAAAAAGTATATGTTTCATGTTTGTACCTGTCAATTCTAAAAATTTTGTGGTAATTAGTGGAACGTCGTGACGCAAAAATGCTTATTAATTTGAGACGTAAATTTGATGTAATAACACCATATAAAAATCTTTTTTTTTTTTTTGCAGGCACAACCGCAGCGCTGCCGCAACGCTGCCCGGCTGCGCGTAAATGAGGAAATCTACATGAAACTACAAACTTTATAATTTTCCTAAAACGGACCACACGAGACGAAAATTGCCATCATTTCTCGATTGTAATGCCGCAATCGATTTTCCATACCTTTAATGGATACCTTATCGATATTTTATCGATTTTCTTGTTGCTGCCCATGACAAGAAAAATATATAATTCATTGAATTACGCCATATAATTCAAAATGTCCAAATTTATTGAATTACGCCATATAATTCAAATTGCTGCTCAAAACCGCCGCCAAAAATCGAGGCCACGCCCCTTTTTCGCAATAAAATGGCGGCCAAATTGCCCTAATTTTCGCTTTTTCGATTTGTCGATTGTTTTGCCCAATTTTTAGGCGATTTGCTGCCACAATTCGCCGAAAAAATTTGGGTTTTTAAAAACTTTTTGAAACATATTCTTTGCGATTTTTTGTTGCTTAGAAATCGCGTAGTTTTGATAGATTTACTATTTCCATATTTCCGCAATATTACTGTAAACGGGGCTGAGTTTGTTCGAGTTTCGGGGCGCTGGTAATTTATGCTAATTTGCATATGGCCAGATACCCCAAGAGGATACCTTAAAAATTCCCCTATACCGTTTTATTAATGGGATTACGGTACCGCTGCTGCCCTTTTGGTGCCGTAATGCCTAAATTGAGATACGGTAAAAATTATGCATTTTTTGATATAACTACAATTTTTAAAATGCAGTAAAGAAACTCGAACTTAATTTGCATAAAATCAGCCCCGGTTTTTGGAATAGGATTTGCCGATTTTTGCGCTAATTCCCATCAAAATTTGAATGCCACGGCGCCCCCAGAGAAATTGCTGCCTTTTTTGGGGGTGCACGGGGCGAACATTTTTGAAATTCGAGTTGAAAAAGAATTTTATTGTTTTTTTTATGTGTGTGTTTTTCGTAGTGTAATGAGAAAGAGAGCCTGGTGCGAATCGTGTGAGATTTAATAAAGATTTATGATAAAAATGTGTGTTTCATCAAAATGCATTGGATTTTTGGGCATGAAAAGTCATAATAGTTGGCCAGAAATGCATGGAAAATCACCAAAAAATGCGCAAATTTTCGAATTTTAAGATTTCTAAAAATATGTAAGATCATTCCTGTATTTTAGACGGTTTTTAGATATCAAAAACTCATAAAAAATTATTAAATTTTGCCGGCGTTTTTGAGTCTTTGATGAAAACTGAATGAAAAATCCCCAAAAAGCCGACATTTCTAATTTCTAAAATTCTTCAAATTTTTTTGTAGCTTTCTCGAAATTAACAAAAACTACAAAAAGCGCCACAAATTTCCACGATAGATGATTAACAGGTATATAGAAGCCGGCATTAAAATTTAGCTACCCTCGCTAGGTGGTGGTTATTACGGTCAAACATGTGTGTTTCACAAAATCCAGTAGCCTCAATAAAAAAAGGTTGCATAGTATTGCTTCGCGGATTTCAGGAAACTCGACTTCCTTTGTAAAGCTACAGAAACTCACAAAAACTAGCAAACTTACAACAAAAAATTTCAGTAAACGCGGAAAATGAAAGGGAAAAAATTACCCAAAATTTGCCGATTTTTTTGTTGAAAAAAGTTGAAACATTCTATTTCGTAATTTAATGAGAAAGGACCAATTTTCCCCGAATAATTCGGTATGCTAAATATAAATATACAGGGTGTCCCAATAAAAAAGGTCACGCTGGCATTTTGCTATTTCAAATCCGATCGACTTTGAAATTTTGCACAGAGGTGAGGAAGGGAATTCAAAATGTTCACAGAAACTTTCAGCCCGATCGGTACAATAGTTTTCGAGTTATAGCAAAAATAAACTTTATTTTACGTTTTTCACCTGGATTTCGCCGGAATTGAGCCCTGGAATGTATGGAGAAAATGAAGCGCCGACCCTTTTTTATCCTAGGAATTTTTTTATTTTGCAAAATTCGGGTCGAAAATAGGCTTTTTAAGTATTTTTTAACAAGGGCTAACGACGCCGATGTTAAGAAGAATAAGGGATTTAGAGCCGGAAATTTATGTTAATTGATGCAAAGTCCAAAAAGATAGCCGAAAAAATGAAGCTAAAGTTTGGGAAAAAACAGTATTTTTACAATAACTCGAAAACTCTTGTAGCGATCGGGCTGAAAGTTTCTGTGAACATTTTAAATTCCCTTCCACACCTCTGTGCAAAATTTCAAGTCGGTCGGATTTGAAATAGCAAAATGCCAGCGTGACCTTTTTTATTGGGACACCCTGTATATAAATCTATAAAAATAAATATAAATGCTATCTAAATAGGTATAAATCTATGCCAAAATATAAACCAATGTTATATCATTCTACGCCGTTTTTAGGTAAAAAAGATCATAAAACATTTGAAAAATGCGAAAGTATTCTACCGTGAAATTTGGGCAATAGTGTATGAAAAACCCCAACATTTTTGTGTAATGTTTTCGGATCGTTTTCCATCAACCAGAACTGTCGAAACTTTCCTAGAGAATTCCATTCTCTAGGTGCAGTTTCGAGGATTTAATTATGTGGGGTAATGGGGTTGGCAATATGCCAGGTGGTCCCGCCGCGATGACCGTACACAACCGCCCATGGGTTCGATCCAGATGGTTCAAGGGAAAGGGCGTACTGTACGTGTTTTTCGCGCGTTTTCACATTTTCACATTTTCACATTTTGAAAATAAGCCGGGAGAAACCATAAGCCAAAAAAATTCTGTTTTCTGAAAATTCATTCAACGGCACCGAACAGGTTAATCTCTCCAAGTGAAATAAGCAAAATGTGTTTCGAAGCCAGCAGATTTGCTTAAAGTTCCCCGCGGCGCGACACGCAACGCGAGGGCGCTTGGCTACCACCTTAGTTACCCTGCCCTCTAATTTGTTTCTGAAAAATGATGTTTCGTCAAAATGCATTGTGGACGAAAGGCGGGAAGCCATCAATCGTTGGACCGTATATTTCTAAAGCACTAAAATTATATTGAATTTAATCATCACGTTACAAGCATTCTTCTAAGATTTAATTTAACAAAACTTTATTAAAAAGATCTGTTTTATCAAAATACATCTAATATCTCGAATACCATAGATTTTCGATGAGTTTGCCACCGCGACACACAACGCACACGTCCCGCTTGGCTACCTCCGCGCCTTAAGCCCTCTAATTTTTTGCCGAAAAATGATGTTGCAACGAAATATGTTGTGGCGGAAAGGCGAGAAGGCATTAGTAAATACATGGTCACAACATTTTGGAAAAAACAGTGTTAGAAAAGCAACCAAATAAACATCGTTTATTGAATGAATTTTTTAGGAAAACTAGTTGCAAAAACCCGCATGATAAAATACGTAAATTGGCAAATAATAAGCAATTCCCTGGCCTCTTCTGCAATCTCGTAACTGCGAGTGTGTTTTAACGAAAGCGATTGTTAGAACCAAACAATGCTTTTAATGTCACGTAGAAAATTGCCGCAAAATCGTACCCAAAACCAAATTTAAAAGGCGTCCGCGAGCCACCCGAACAGACCCCAATATGGCTTGGCACAGTTTTTTTCGAAAATAGTGCTACTTTACTAGGTGTTTCCAGGCTTTTAAGAAAAGTTACCCCTTGTTAATGCAAAAGTACCACAAATTCTTCAAAAACTCGATAATCATCTGCCATTTTTCATATATGCAAATCTCATCGCAGAAGACAATATTTATTCGCCAAAAAACGACAGGCAAGAG